AGGTACTGCAACTCTAACTGGCTTTGTTATGGCTCATCATGTTGATAGAGGGCATGAGGTTGACCAAATCCGTGCATTTCGAATACTATACAAGGTCTCTCTACTCCAGTTGAATGGCTTGCGCCTCAGGCCCTTGTTACTGCCGAGGCGACCATCATTCGATTATATCAACCGCTTAATGTGTACAGAAGAAGCTGACCGATGCTGTTAAGTTAGCTTGGTCAGACAAAACAAATCCTTCTGAGGGCATCTGTGATCGTTTAACTACACCTTCGTCCTAGTTTTTCCTTTGTTGTTAGTTCAGGCCCTTGATCGGCAAGTGATCGAAACTCAGTTGAACTGATCGAATCCACTTTTACGCCCATTGCTATTTCACCCATATGATTATACGCTTCTGAGGAGGAACCATTGAAAACAATTGTTTGCCACCGGTCTTTTGTTCTCGAGAGTCTGCATCTTCCACGACTTTGTAATGTATATCCCCTCAGTAATACAGAATAATCCCTTCTTGTTTTGTGAGCTTGTCGCTTCGGATGAGGGACACTCCCGGTAGCCAGCTTACAGCATCCGTCATTCCAATGTGCAAATATGTCTCCATAGCGCCGATGCAGTGATCCATACGATCAGGAGCATTTGAAATCAAGTTAGTTATTGCCAATAAGTTCCCGTGCATCGACAGCTTCAGTCCAGTTGGCACGGACTAGGAGAAGGTTCGTTGTGCATGATCGGTTTCGGCAGAAGCAGTGCAACTCCGGTGTAATGATGTTAAATATTCTCATATACCTATGAGTGTTTCTGCAATGACAGCCTGAATGACATTAGAAAGCATTGGAAGGATCGCCACGATGTAATAATCTGCGGGGGCATCACGATTTGTTTTATATAGGCGACTAGTGCATGATTCTATATATCCTAACTTGGTTCTCAGGGAAATCGTTAATAAATTGAGACAGCTATTTAGTTAGGCTTGTGGTGGCCGCCTTTAATACTCTTGGGCGTATGTCATTTGCATCAGAAGAGCTACGTCTGCACAATGACATCATTGTCTTGAGCATACTTGCGGTCGTAGGCACGAGGCTACTCCCTGTTAGTTGCGTGCTCGGTGTGAAGATAGTGTGAGATGGTGAACTTTGAAAGGGATGAGTGAGATGTTATTACGAACGTTAGCCGCTTCTCGTGAAGTTTGCGCTTATCCACTTGTAGTGTTTTGTTAAAGGACGCCTGGCTGCACTTTGCGGAGGTTGTTCAAAGACCTACTAAGTAGCTTGTGGTTGAATCGGAATTTCATCGCTAGGCCTTTTTGACTTATCAGTCTACCCTCTCGGACCATTATGATATAACGTTTCTGCTCGGTTACGTCATCTTCCTAGTTTCCCGTGCTTGGGGTCTCTTTGTAAGTTTGTCAGAACGAACTCCTCAAAGGTATAAGTCTAACGCATCCTATTCCTCTTGATGGACTTCACCGTTTTCGCGCTATGGAATTTAGCTTCCGATGTGTTTGTCACTAGCATGCTGAACAGGTCCACGAATTCCCTCTGGAAGATAACACGGGGTCGTTCAGCTTGAAAGGACCAACTGGTCGCTTTGATGAAGTCGGGGTGTAGTGTGTGATGACAATGGCTTCTTCAAGGTTCCCACTGAAGCATTCTGAGTAACAGACGCAGGCGGACAGCAATGTTGCACGACTGCCGTTGACAAAGGAGATCCTTATCTTTATTACGCATACCATATGTTTCTACTTGGTGAGCGCGAGATCCGTGATGGTCGACATGCTCCCACTACTGGATCTCGTACGGTAAGTTACGTGATAATGATATGGTAAGTCAAGGACTGGCTCTTCCAGTTCAGTTTTAAATAACTCGCTGCTCGAAGCTGGGACTTCTAGAGTGTGTATGTTGAGGTCTCACATAAGATGAACGTGACTTTGAGACCTGGCTTGAACGTTATTAATAAGAGAAGCTCTATGCTAGTCCGTTTCCAAATTGGACAATGCAGGCACACGAGATACTAAATATAATACACCATGTCTTAGTTTCAGACAACTTGCGTTCCTAGATCACCAACTGGTTCGAGTCACAGACAACTGCGACGGCACGGACTCACGCCACTACTAAACCGATGTCTACATAAGACAGACACGCCTGGCATGGTGACCTCATCATTGGCCTGCTTAGAACTCGGTACAGTGCGTCCAAACATCAATCAACCAGTGGAGCCACGTAGACGGACGACAATACATGCTATGTTCAATTATCGTGTGCCTACAATTGACTGCCTAGTTCCTCTCTGAGATCCGTCTATTTATTTAGATTGCATATTATCACCAGAAAGTTGGTGTAACCCAGTTAACTGCAGTGTTTCCATACTCACTTATCTGCGCGTCTACTTCTTATGGAGAGCTCCGCGACGGTCATTTAATTGCCACTATCAGTAGCGACAGTCGTAAGGCTGGAATCCGCGATTGGCGCAGGTGCACAATATTACATTCAGTTCCACAAACGTGAATAAACAGCCCTACTGCAACCGACTTTCGAGACCAGTTTACCCTGAGCTACAGCTAAAAATTCCTGGAGGAACTGATCCTCCCAGCAAAGCCCTTCTACTATCACCAAGCGACCTACTGAGGCCCGGTATGCCCAGCACGATCCCCCTTGCACGCTGTTAGTTGGTCTCTGCAAATTTGCTAAACTCCGTGAGCTCCCCACCGTAAACAAAACACTTCAGCCATATCTATTCATACGTTCGTCGAAATGCATGACACACCAAATCCAGAAAGCCGCAGATCGCGATCAAGTTTAACAGCCCATATAGAAAATACGGTGGTCATGCCAATCTGTTGGGGAGACGCCTTGGACCTACATTGTACTTCAGCATCCCTAATCGACACCATCCGGGAATATCAAGCTTGATAAAACAATACATTTCAACCAGCTACCTCTAGATTCCTACCCGTCCCTTATAAGCTGACTTGTAGAAAACAGGACTTAAGCCGTATCCAGTATAGCGGTTTTGACGGAATATGGTGCCTCTTCCTGTATCCAAGTGCGTGTTTATGTGAGTGTTTACCGGCTTAGCGATGAAATTGGCATGATGTGACCGGTTCATGCTACTTCGGGGATCAATTTTATGATACAGAGCCATGGAGACACATTAATCCAAAAGACTGGATATCCGAAATTGGTTTCACGTGCTCAATAAGTGTAGAAGAAAGAGGCATTAAGCCAAATTCCTTTGAAAGTTGAAACTTAACTTTAGTCCCTAACTGAACGTGTTACATACGAACGGCGCAAGCGAAGCTTCAGTCAGTGGCCAGTGGGCAGTAAGTAGGGTTGAAGCGTTTGAATTGTCGCGCACAAGTGGCAGCATTTTAGTGATCTTCTGCCTCAACCTAAAGCATGAAAGCGAAGTCGACTGCTCACTGGTGATAGATAATAGATACACTTGACTACTTGCTGACTGAGTGATTTTAGATAATGTCAAGCTGCGGATTTCGCTTTAGGTACAACCGCAAAAGGGTAGTAAAGAATTTCTGTCACTGGACGTTGCGACAGCAATTACGAGTGAATAGTGAGAGGCGGAGTCCATGTTTAGCACTGATCATAATACGTACAGATGGTATCATGCTCTATCATAAGTGATGTGCGGTTCTGTGCCTATTAGTGTTCTCGGGCAACACATTTGTCTTACTTGTTTGTGTTATACGCTAAGGTGGAAGGTATTGTTGCGCTCTGAGGCTATTGTATGCGACGTGGGTTGTTTTCACTATACATTTTCCTTATTTTACATACGTTGGTGCACGAAACAGTTTGAAAGACAGGTAAGCACCGGACCACTAAGGAAAGTTGCCAGTTAATTTTTGAGTGAAAATGTCCCAGTCCTATTCACAACGAACCAGGTGTGCGGTGTTGAGCGAACGTTTGGTCCGTGCATGAGCATATGTAGCTTTTATTTTACTCAAGTTTTTTTCAGAAATTACGTTAACCAGACACAGGAAGTTAGATGGGTGGACGCCCGTTCGATGATTGAGTTTAGGATAATGTTCTGAGGACTATAAACCCGTCAAGAAAGACAACGAGAAATTTGTATGCCAACTGTAATCGACTAATCACGCTTCATGTTTACGCAAATAGATGGGACCCATGAAGCGAGAGTGCACACCAGACATGCAACGGAACGCGGCCAACAGCGGAAGTCTGAATGCAGCGGTTGGCGAATATGTGTGCTACAGCAGTCAGGCGCGTCAGGAAACCCTGAAGCACACAGCCACAAAGATGTTACGGGAGTGAGAGATGTGAACGAGCAGATGTATCCGATGGACGAACCAGGCAGCCAATCGGATACAAACTTAACGGGCTCGATGACTGGATCCACTGGGTATAGTAGTCCATCTGCGTGGCTCCACTGAAAGGTTGACATTCACAATGAGTTCCTCGGTTGTTTACTTAAATGAATCCGACGAAGAAGCTCATAGCACAACGACGTCGACCCAAATGTTAACGACTAAACGAAGTAGGTAGTAGGCATTAGAAAATCAAAACTTCTTCACAAACTTGGAACTGTGTACTAAGCCGTTTGCCTCTAAGGGACTGATTTTCGGCAAACGAGGACCTCTATAGTGCTGTCACCGCTAAGACCGAGTCACTGTCCAACTCAAGTGAATGAAGATGACACTTTTCTAACCCATCATGATAAGGTGAAAACAGACGCGATAGAAGATAAATCGGTGCATTTCTCAGGATAAATGGGCAGGCAAAGTTGAGGCGGACGGACAGACGGTTAAGGTAGAAAAGATAAGACGTAAGTATGTGCTGGAAGAAGTCCCGAGAAAACGACACTAGTAGACAAAAAGCCTATGAATCCTGTGTGGAAGCCCTCGATTGTCATATGAAATATACATGTCATGCGCAACAAACTGCTGAAAATGGTTGATACGAAATGGGAAGAAAAATTAGAAAACAGATAGAAAACAGACGTGAAATTAGGGAAATTACAAAAATGTGCTAGAAATGCTGGAAGCGCTTGAGTGGATCCATAGAGCCAACGAACCAGCTCGGAAGCTGTCGAGTACCGCACAGTCCAGAATGTAATTGCTC